ATTTTGTATTTGGAAAATAATTTCTTCAGAGGCAAAATTAAAAACCCAAAGGATGAGGTCAAATGCCAAGAAAACAACCCACAGGGAACAGCACTGAACCATATCTGAGGAACTGGCAAGACTGCCCAGTTGGATTTCAGAATTGCTACAGGCCATTGCCTGCTGGATCTGCACATTATTTTCTATTCTGGAATACAGATGGCTGTTACAATCATATTCTGACTTCACCGTGGTCTTATAGGTTTGGGGAAGTGGGAGAAAGATAAATTATTTGGTGGTCTTTATAACAGGTCTTCTGGGTGAGGGGCGATAGGCCCAAGAAACCAAATCTGAGTCACCTCATCTGCACCTGGATCTCAGCTTGATTGGAAGGTTGTGGATCTCAAATGTCAGCATATGGTATTATGTTATGTCAGCTGATTCCTATTAGAGAGTATATATTCTATGTGGACTTGGTGTAAATAGTTTGTGAAGAGAGAGCAGATTGCTGATTTTAAAACAAGATCACAAATTCTTTGGCATTCTTTCCATTAAGATCTGGCAAGTATGCCCTGTTCTGTTGAGCCTCAACTATCACTGGTAAGTAACTTATGAAGAAAAATAACTATGACATAGAAACAATTAAATATGACATCAGGAATAGCCCCATATGGCTTTTTATAGCTACTTAAGGCACTTACTTTTGATGTTTATACTAGCTAATTTTATGTCAACTTGATACAGGCTAGAATCATCTGTAATAAGAGAACCCCTATTGAGAAAATGTCCCCATCAGATCAGGCTATAGAGAGACCTGTAGATCATTTTCTTAATTAGTGATTGATATGGAAGGGCCCAGCCCATTACAGATAGTACCATCCCTGGGATGGTCGTCCTGGGTTCTATAAGAAAGCAGAATATGAGGAGCAAATATGAAGATCAGTAGTCTTCCATGGCCTCGGCCTCAGTTCCTGCCTATGGGTTCCTTCCCAGTTTGAGTTCCTGCCTTGACTTCCCTCAATGGATTGTAACTAATACATAAGCAGAATAAAATAAAGAATTCATAAGCCACATAAACCTTCCCAAGTTGCTTTGGCCATGGAATAGAAACCCCAACTAAGCCAGTATTCTAAACTATCTTGTAAGAAAAGGAAACTCCCTGATGCTATACCATATTGTAAGTAAGCCTGGAATATGCACACACTGCAAACAAATGGTATGGCACACAGCCCCAGCGCTATCTCAGGAGACTAACAATAAACCTCCAAGCAATATGATTCCAGGTGATTCTGGCCCTGGTTGTAAGAGGCCAGTCATCATGCCACCCTATCTGAGACCCAGACCGTACTGAGCAGAGACAAGTTGCTTCCACTGTGTGCTCCAATTCCATACCACAGAAGCTCTGAACATAATAAACTGGACCTATTGTGCAAATCCTTTTTACAGTAGTTTGTTTTGCAAGTATAGGAACCAGAACAGCACGGTAAGGGTAGAAGTCATACTTTCAGTTTTCAAACAAGAAAACTAGAAAAGAGAGAGCTTAAGTAATGAACCAAGGTCACAGAGAAGCAAGGCAAGAGCTCAGAAACAGATCTATCTGATGGTAAAACCCCATCTGTAGGCATCTTACCACACCAATTTCCATACAGACTTCCCTACATCTATATTTCTTCCTGATAATATTTCCCCAACCAAGCACAATGTGCACACAAAATCTGCTTCCCTTGGACGGAATCACCATTCAAGGTCCTTCTATCTCTCCTCTCTTCCAGGAGACACATGCCTACAACACAATTGCTAGGAATTTCTCTGTCTTCTAGTGGTCTTGGGATTGCTTTCTTCCAACTGGACAATTAATGAATACTAGTGATACCAATTCACAACTGGTGAATTTGTTGTTTTTCTTACATGCATTCCCTGGTTTTTCCTCCTGAATTGTGTTCCTAGATTAAGGCTGAACTCTAACTGTATATAAGATTGCAGCAGGAAATATAAAGCTATGAGGTGGACTGAGCCCAAAAGAACAAAACCAATCTTGAGTATGTTGTCTTGAGAAGTTAATACCAAATGTAAATGAACTGGTCACAACATAACTTCAGCCCATTGACTTTCTTCACAGCATAAATAATGAGCTTACGTGGCACATGCGAGAATGATTATTGCCTCTCACTAGAACACGAGATCTCTATAAATTCGCAGTGTACAGACGTGAGTCAAGTGATACAAGACCTTGCTGTGGGGTAACCCGTCTGTACACTGCGAATTTATGCTGCTCTCATTGGTTGATACCGAAATCTGCTTTGGCCTATAGCGAGGCAGAATATAACTAGGTGGGAAAGCCAAACTCAATACAGAGAGAAAGAAGGATGAGGGAGAAATATAGGGGTTGAGGGAGATGTGGGCCAGCCACCCAAGAAGGATGCCAGCAGACCAGTAAAGCCATGGCCATGTGACAATATATGCATGAATAGAAATGGGTTAATTTAGGTGTAAGAGCTAGTTACTAATAAGCCTGAGCTAGGTCAAGCAGTTTGTAATTAATATTAAGTCTCTGAGTAATTATTTAGAAGCAGCTGTATTCTTCAGGAAAAAACAGAAGTTATCTTATGTGCAATCTCTGAATTCATAAATATTAACACCGTTTAAGAAAAAAATGGTAAGCTGTTTTAGGAATGAATAAACTCAATACATTTACAGATTAGTATTAAATACCTAATTTACATGTGTAACCTCTGTATCAGGGGTATCTTAGACTCTTCATCTTTGTAATTATTTTGAATAGCATTTTGCAAAGTAAAGGTAGCTTGCAAAGCAGATAATGATGGAGTGACAGTGGCTCTAGTACTCACACCTGGGGCATTGTGAGATTCAGCTCCGTATTATTAATATGCTACTCAAGTTCCTACCTCATAGCTCAAACAAAATTGCTGCAGCTTCTGATCTCAAATGACCACCTGGACCTCACATGACCATCCCACAACCAAGATTCTAAAGCTAAACCTCTTCTCTTCCCATCTGCTAAGGGTTGAGAAATGTCATTCCAATGTCATTCCCATGTGCCCCCAGTAATAAAGGGGAAAGTCAGTGAGAAGAAAAACAGATTGCATTTCAAAGGGGGTGACAGAAAGCGAGAGTAGAGTTTCAAACTGTATTTCCACAGTTGATAAACAGGGCTTCCCAATGGCGATTCTGCTTTCCTTTCTACTGATTTTGGTATTTTTAGATGATACAGTCTGATATTTCCTTTCAATTGACCTTTCAATGTTCGCTGCTACTGTGTTTTATCTTCTCTACATTAAAATTACTAAGTATAGACGTTAAAACGCTTACTGATTACTTAAAAATGCTTAACAATAAAAAGTCACATCTGAAAAACTAGAGTGATTTTACAAACACGGCTTAGCAGCAAGCAGAATTATGTAGGGCTGGGGACACTTTCATGGTTTTTTAAGGAAAAGATACCAAACCAAAGCATTTCCAGTATATTTTATGGCAGCTGAGCCACTGCAAGTCAATCACCTACTTTTGAAGACACAGAAGGAAATGGGATGTCTTCATGTTCGTTTTCTGTGTATGGTCCAATGAACTCAGTCTTGAAGGGTTCATAGAAGGCATAGACAAGCATCAGAGGAACTCAACATTTCAAATTATTTTTAAGTCCAAAGAGTAAAATGTCTGCTAGCTCTCTATACTCAGAATTTAGGGTATTGTTTAAAATGACTACCCAGATGAATTCACTCTATAGTGGTTTTTTTTCAATAATGGCATTAATTTTGTATATGAGCAGATTTTTTTAAAGCAAGCTCCACAGTGATTTAAATTAAACCAGTGAGAAAAATTTCTTTAGCCAAAACTATTTTTCGAAATTCAGGGTATTATAGAACTGTGAATCCCTACAGGTTAAAAACATAGATTTCTGTTCACTTATTATGTTATGAGCAAAGAAAATGGAGTATAGGAGCTATATAGTGGGGAAGATCACATGAAATTCTCTCAAAGACATGCAGGTTAAATGATAAAAGAGATTCCCTGAGCACAGTAGAGAAAGCCCAAACCTTGGGAACAAACTGCCTGATTTGACTTGTGGTTTTTGACCCTGGGAAGGTTACTTAAGCTATTTAAACCCCAATTACTCATGTGGGAAAAGAACCACAATGCCTTGGTAATTAATATGAAAATTAAAATAAATGCATGGTTATTGTGGAAGAAATTGAAATGGGGAAGAAATTGCTCATTCAACATGACTCAGACTAGCATGACACAATGCAATAGAAAAGTGCCTAGAATATCTTAGTGTCAGTCAGGAGAGCAATCAAAGATAAGCCACCTGTCTTTACCACAAATTTAATGCAGACAATAACTACAGAACCTCACACTAAGAAAAGTAAATGAAATAACTATACAATGTAGGGTGACAGCTATTCTCTAGTCTCTTGGATTTTAGAGTAGGCTAAGTATTAATAAGTGATGAATATAAACATACAGCAACTGTACAATAAAATGCATGGGCATGACAAATACAAAGTTGAGGCTAGGGTTCCTAAGAAAGAGGATATCAAGGACTCCTGCCAGGGAGATTCAGTTCTATTCACTATCATTTACTTTCTCCTCAGGCCTGGCTAACAGGTATGTGGAGTTCATTGCATCATTGGGTACATTTTGTATACATTTGGGGAAAAAATCACAATTGAAAGATGCAACAGGAATCAAGAAATTTTCCAGAGAAGTCAAGAGCTGTTCCAGGCATACCCAGGCCTGGGGTGGAGACAAGGAAAACCAACATCCATAAAACAGGTGGATGGAGATGGCTAAAGAAAAAGAAAGAAAAAAAGAAGAGAAAAGAAGACTGTAGGGTGAGAAAAGTCTGACCTTGAAACAGGGATTACATTTAACATCCAGTAACTAAAGACATTGTCTGTGTCAGATGTGAAAGCTCCACAAGTGACGCCTGTGAACCTAGAAGCCAGGCTACTCTACAGGGTACACATTATCCAAAGAATCATTAGGCTGAGAATACTTACTACAACCCCACTCTTGGTAGTAGTTTCTCGGTATGTGAAGTTGCAAATCGCCCAGGCTAAATAGTATGTGGACATGAGAGGGGTCTGTGAAAAGTGGTCTGTGACCCATCCATCTTCCTCAAACACGGATGTCTCCACTGGCATATTGGATAGAGACAAATAGGCTGCTTGATGTTTGATGCTGATTTTGAAAGTGGCTTTGTAGATTGGTTCATCAAAACATGGAAATGCCTTCCTGGCATGCGTAGGTGAAAACTGAGTAACACCAAGGAATCTGGGGGAAAAAGAAGAAGAAGAAAATGACATGCAAATTATGTATACTGCTTCAATTAATGACCCCATTGCATACCTCAGTATATTTTGATAAATCTGAAAATACACATTTTTTTACCTAAACTGTGCCTCTATCCACGAATAACATGAAAGTACACTTCATGTATAATATACTGCCCCAACAATAAAAGTTCTTCAGGGAAGTTTTTGTCTCGATTAAAGTAAACTCTCTAAACCCAGAGCAGTCCTTGTTGGATGAAACACTACACTCTACAGAGAAACAACTCATGGGTACATTGGCAAACATTGAGAAATAATGGCTCTTTTATTGTGTATATCACATTCCTCTTGAAGCCTGGGGCATCCCGTATATAGAGATAATGAAACAGAAATCCAAACACTCTCCACAAATTGGGGGTGGGAGGCTTATAGACCTTCACTGGGCAATACATATACTCTCAAATCTATACCCTGTAATATACTTATGTTAAAATAAATGACTTTGATACCTATTAAATCTTGGTCTGAATTCTGGCTCCAAAACTATTTTTAGTCATACCAAATTTGAAAATTCTAAAACTCCCCGCCCCAATAAGGAAATACACAATTCTAATTCCAAAAGTATTGCAAATCTCAGATGGGGGATAAAAGGGGTATAATGGCCCCATCACTAGGAATATCTGCCACAGTCAGGCAAAGAACAGCCAACGCTGGTTCTCAAAATCTTCATCCTTTCTGAACACTGTATTTACACTTGCACTGCACAGTCCAGAGAGCACTGATTTTTAAGAAAGTGGTTCACCCTACACATGGCTTCATTTGGGGGGGGGGTTAAGTTACCCATAGTCCACTGAAGTCCAGAAATATTCCTATAGTGTGGTGGAACTTGAATGTATTATGAGGTGAGACCATATTTATACAGCTTTTATTCCAGCATATTATTACCATGTTTTATTTTATTACTAGCTGTTAATCACTTAGTATTTCTAATTTATAAATTAAATTTTATCATATTTATGTACACACTGGAACAAATATAGTATATATAGTGCTCAGGATTAGCCATGACTTCAGGCATTCACTGAGGGTCTTAAAATGTATTTCCCATATATAATGGGAAACTACTATGATATATACACACACACACACACACACACACACACAAACACACTCACACACACACATGCGTACATACACACACACACAATAAATACATATGTGATCTGTACAAGAGATAAACTGAACATGTACATATAATATATCAAATACAAATATACACATATGTATCAAATATATGTATAAAATATATATGTATCAAATATATTTCTGATAAAGTTGTATTTTATTAAAACTAATCAGAAGCTTCTCCATGATTTCACAGTCTACAGTTACAAATGAAGACCTCAAGTACTTTAAGGATACTCGTTTTTTCTTTTCTGTTTTTTATTTAAAATAGAAACAATCTTATTTTACATATCAATCCCAGTTCCCTCTGCCTCCTGCCTTCCCCTTCCCCCTCACTGGCCCCTATCCTATCCCCTTTCTGCTCCCCAGGTAGGGTAAGGCCTTTCATGGGGGAACTTCAAAATCTGTCATATCATTTGGAGCAGGGCCTAAGCCCTCCCCTGTGTGTCTAGGCTGAGAGAATATTCCTCTATATGGAATGGGTTCTCAAAGTCCATTTGTATGCTAGAAATAAATACTGATCCACTACCTGAGGCTCCTTAGATTGCCTAGGCCTCCTCACTGACACCCATGTTCAGGAGCTCTGGATCAGTCCCATGCTGGGTTCCTAGCTATCTGTCTGGGGTCCATGAGCTTCCCTTGTTCAGGTCAGCTATTTTTGTGGGTTTCACCAGCCTGGTCTTGACCTTTTTGCTCATCGTTCCTCACTATCTGCAACTGAACTCCAGGAGTTCAGTTCAGTGTTTACTTGTGAGTGTTTGCTTCTGCTTCCATCAGCTACTGGATGAAGGCTCTAGGATGGCATATATGGTAGTCATCAATCTTATTATCAGGGAAGGTCATTTAAGGTAGTCTCTCCCCTATTGCTTAGATTGTTAGTTGGTGTCATCCTTTTAGATCTTAGGACATTTCCCTAGTGCCAGATTTCTCTCTAAACCTATAATGGCTCCCTCTATTATGGTATCTCTTATCTTGCACTCCTCTATTCTTCCCCTGACTCAACCTTCCTGTTTCCTCATGTCCTCTTCTCCCCTTCTCTTTCTCCTAACTCCCGCTCCCCTCCCCCATGCTCCCAATTTGCTCAGGAGATCTTGTCCCTTTCCTCTTCTCCAGGGGACCATGTATGTCTCTCTTAGGGTCCTCCTTGTTTCCTAGCTTCTCTGGTGGTGTGGATTATAGGCTGATAATCCTTTGTTCTATGTCTAAAATACATATATGAGTGAGTACATAGCATGTTTGTCTTTTTGTTACTGGTTAACCTCACCCTGAAGGTACCCAATCTCATCTGATCTCAGAAGCTTTCATTTTTGAAATAAAGCAAAAAGAAGGCTTTTAAAAATTGATTGTTCAGGGAGGGTTGAGAGTATTTTGGACACAGTGCTAGGGATTCCACACCCCAGACCTGGTGAAGTCACTTAACTGCCTTTTCTTATTCTTTCATTTGTAAAGAGAAAATGCTGTTTTCTTGGCCTTTCTCACAAAACTGCCAAAATGATAAAATGTAATAATATATCGTAAGATGTTTTAGTAATAAATCTTCATACAAAGTATTAAAGGTAGAAGAACTATTAGAAACAAATTATTCCACTCCCATAAATTTCTAAAATAAAAATGTATACCCAGTAAGTTTTGTCCAAAGGCACGCAGGCAATTGGCCCAAACCTTGACCTAGAATGCATGTGCTCTTGATCCAAATAAAAGATAAATACACATCAAAAGCAATGAAATTAATTTTTAGCAATAGCATAAAAATGGTTTAACTCAACTCTAAGTAAAAACGAACGTTCTTTAAATTTTTATGGGAGTCACAATACCCTTCTAGTTATTTTCTGCTGATAGTAATACTACTTTGCATAATGAAATGTCAGTACCTTTATGTTAAAATGCACTGGCTTCCAGCTTTGTCTTCCTGTGCCATATCTCATAATGTGGGAGAATCTTATCTTTCAACTTATTAGTTAAAAAAATAAACCTCAGAGCTTGGCATTCCTCTGCCAGGGCTATTTAAAAGATACCGTGAATTGTACATATGAGGAAAAACATTTCCTTTTATCATCCAAGTATCTGAACACTCCAGTTCCAACCTTTGAATGAATAGATGTACTCTGCCATGTGAAGCTTTTCTCTGTATTCCATACTTGGATTATTTTTAAGAGGGTGCAGCAAACAGTTCTGTAAAGTGCATGAACAGGCTTTTTGGAGCCCACTCCCTATAGAGGGATACCTAGCTCAGCCTTGATGCCCGGAGGAGGGGCTTGGTCCTGCCTCAACTTGGTATGCCAGACTTTGTTGACTCCTCAAGGAGGGCCTTGCCCCCTCTGAGGAGTAGGTGGGAAGGGTGGGAGGTCGGGGAGAGTGAAGAGAAGGAAGGCAAAACTGGGGTTGTTATGTAAAATTAAAAATAAATTTTGTTTAAATATAAAAGTGTTTATTATCAAATACATAATTAAAACATATTACTTTAAAAATAAGAGATATCTTTGACAATAAGTAAATAAGCAGTAGGAATTTATTAGAAGTAAAGGTCTAAATGTGTCTGGATTCATGAGAAATTAATAAGTTGGACATTTATACACAGGAGACACATTGTACAGTCTCTTTTGCCCAACTTAGTAAACAAATATGATAGGGAAGGTAGCAGTTTGAGTCAGAGCTAAAAAGAGCTATCAAGATCATCAAGTGACTTTTTCTGCAATTAATACTCTTAATGAATTCATACACACAGTATATATCTATGCAAAGAGGGATACCATATATTCTGATAATGTCTAAATGAGGAAATACCAATTTCACAGTCTGGCACCTGAGAATGACTGCAATTGAATTTCAATTCAGTGTTTAGAAAAATCAAAAGAGGTCCCTTGGTGAAGAAAAGGAGCTAGGCTGGATTGAATTTAGAGTCTTTTCCAAGTTTAAGATCTCATAACTAGACAATCAGAAATAAAATATTCCTCAAACCTGGTGAGTTTCCTATAAAAAGCATTAGATTACCCAAGCACTACATAGATGTTACAAGTTCTTCAATGTATTAGCTCCTCTCCATCAATTCAGTTTTGAGTATTCTAAGTTTGGGAGAAAAAGATTAATATGTATGCTTCCTTCCTATAAGGAGTTAAATAAACATAAGCCTGAACAAGCATTATACCAGAAACCATTACAAACAAGGAAAATGTATGGAGAAATTGAATTTGCTTAGGTGGGGCTTCTCAACCTGGACATTACTGACATTTTAGGTTGAATAATCATCCATCATGTGGGATATGAAGCAATCTGACTAGCCAGTTGAATGTCTTCTCCTCAGTTAAGATGACCAAAGCTCTCTCTGAAGATTTTAACTTTTCCTCGAAGACAAGGTGCCTTAACTGGGAAAATAACTCAAATGCTTCCTAGACAAGGAGCATAAGAACTAACCAGAAGTGAGGAGAGAGTGAGCTGACTATACGGAACACCAGGGAAGAAAAGGCCATTCAGAAAGAGTTTTGATACATGTGAGGCTGCTACATGCAGCTGTTTTGTAGGCTCTGGTCCTATCCTGTTTCAGTGTCTGTCTCTCACTTCCTTCACCTGATAAGTCTATCCTCCAACGGGCAGCACCAGTCAGGTGTACGGCCCCCATGAAGAACAGTACCTATATGGTTTAGAAACATGACTTCACCTCCATTGCATACATTTCTTGATCATCTTCAGGTGGGAGAAAGAAGACTCCTTTCTTGTTTCCTGTCACTTAAAACTTCAAAGGGGCTTTCAGAAAGGGTGGTTTAAAGAAGAAAATAGTGATTTTGATGCCTGAGTTAATTTGAGGTGAGTTTAAGGTAG